CCACACCGTGGCGGTGAAGCAGGAGGCCCTGGAGTCCCCCGCTGTGGCGGTGAAGCAAGAGGCCCTGGGGCCCGAGCCCAAGCAGGTGCCTGCCTCACAGCTGCTCCTGGGCACCCAGGGCTCCGGCCTCCTCAAGGGGGTCACGCCTCCCACCCTCATCACGGACTCCACGGGGACCCACCTTGTCCTCACCGTGACCAATAAGAACACAGACAGCACGGGTCTGCCCGCTGGGAGCCCCCCACAGGTACCTGGGGAGGGTGGGCTGGTGGATCAGGCACATGCAGTTTCCTTCCCCTCCCACCAAGGACACTGGGCCTTCTGGGTGAGGGTCTGCTTGGGACCCCACAGACAGCAGGAGCCGCCTTCCCCTCTGGCCAGGGACAGCAGGACAGTTCTGTGCTTGGGCTGCACTGTCTAGGTCCAGACCCTCACACCGTGGCCTTCCAGCAGGGAGAGGGTGTGAGCAAACTGTGGCCTCCTCTACAGTGCCAGCAGCTGCCACTGGCTGCTGGGTGTTGCAGGGCTTGGAGTAGAGTTCAGTGACAAAGTGGGCGCTTTAGGATGTCACAAGGGCCCCCTGAGCCAGCCTTAGGCAGAGCAAGTATGCAGACATCTGGGGTGGGTCAGGCCTAAGCTGGGTCACATCTGCCCTGTGGCTTCCTGACTAGGTCAGGGAGGCAGGGACTCCCTTGCCCGGAGGAGGCAGGGCCCTCTTGGCCCACTCATTGCTGCCTCTCCCTGTCCAGCCCTCCTCCCAGCCCAGCTCTCCTGCCCCTGGCGCCCCTGCCCAGATGGACCTGGAGCAACCCTTCCAGCCCCTGTTTGGGTCTGCCTCAGCCCTGAAGACAGAGCCGCCTGGCTACGAGGAAGCTGTGAACCAGCAGCCCAAACAGCAGGTGACTGGTGCTGGGGCTGGCCAGGGCATGCGACAGCCAAGCCCACAGGGAGGGGTGCTCCGGGAGGAAGGCCTTGGGACCCACACTGGGCGTCTCTGCTGGGGATTCTCATGGTTTCCTGTTTTGGTCTCCCAGGAGAACGGCTCCTCAAGCCAGCAGATGGATGACCTGTTTGACATCCTCATCCAGAGCGGAGGTAACGCCCTGCGCTGGCTGTGGCCATGGTGGCTGGGTCCTGGGAACTGAGCACTTGTGAGTCTGCTGCAGGGCCCACGCCCCGGTGCCTCCAGGCCTGGGACTGACAAGGGGACAGAATGCTTGCCTGGTGGGGAGGTGGACCCCATGTGGAAGGAGGCCATTAGGCCGAGTGGCAGAAAGCAACAGTGAGCCAGAGCGAGGGCCTCCTGGACTGCTGGGAGGGGATTGCGGGGACCCTGGCCAGGCAGGAGCTAGAGCCGCACATCCTTTGGGGAGAACCAGTCTGGGTGAAGGCACAGTGGCAAGGCCAGGGCTGGGGCAAGTGTGGGGGTACGAGGGGGACTTGTGCAGGCAGTCAGATGTGTAAGTGACATTTGGACAGGGACCTGGGAACCCTGGGCATCTAGACTTCTGGGTCATGAGCAAGGCTGGAGCCCAGGCTGGCAAGGCAGTAAGGCCTTAGCGGGGACCAGAGTTCCTGCTGCGGCACTGGAAGGGGTGAGGCGTGGTGGGGTACACACGGGGACACCAGGGCAGATGCAAGGGGAGACCCCTTTAGTGTAGAGGGAAAACCCTTACCCCCTCAAAAGGCCCAGGGGTGTCCTTGGCAGCCACAGCAGGGAGGCCTACTGAGGGCTGTGGTGTGTCAGCTGCAGGACCACCCTGGGGTGGTGGTTGTGCTGTTAACACTGTTGCCCACGGCTCTGAGGATGTGTTGGGCCAGGCTGGCTCCAGGAGCTCCACCTGGGTCTCCTGCAGGGTGACAGGAACCCGCTAAACGCTGCTTCCAGTGGAACATTGAACTAGTACTCTGGTCTGGGGTGTGGTGTCCTACACAAATGCCAGCTCCCTGGGTGACTTCTCCTGACCAGAGCCCCAGGCTCCTTCCCAGGGCTGGGCGTCCCAGCCTCGGGTGTGCCAAGACAGTAGCCCTGGGCGGAGCAGGCTAGAACTTGAGCACGTAACCTGACAGAGAAAGGGTATGCTGGCAGGGAACATGTGGGCCAGTGGGGCAGGCCGTGGGTAGCGGGTTGGCCAGGGCCTTAGCGGGAGCAGCTTCAGGAAGATGCCATGTTCACTTGGAATAGGAAGAGAGTGGGGTGAAGCCTGGATTCTTTGTTCTTTAAATCTAAGATCTAGGTCAAAATTTGCCACTCTAGCTATTTTTTAGTTTAGTGGCGTAAGTACATACATAATGCTAACCATCACCACTGTCATTTCTAGAACTTTCCCATCCTCCCAAACTAAAACAGTGCCACCTGCCAGGTACTCTGTACTTCTCCCACCCCCTAGGTGGCCACTATTCTACTTCCTTTGTGTCACCCGGGGATCGCCCTGTGTTTGTCCTTGGTGGCTGGCTGCCGCCCCATGGGCCTCCAGCTCCGCCTTCTATGTGCTGTTGTCAGGTCCCTGAGGAAGTGCCCTGCACGGTCAGGGGCTCCCAGCCTGGCTGTCCCCGTGCGTGTGTGCCTTCCCACGAGCAGAGCCCAGGGCTGTCGTCTCTGCATCATCTGGGTTTTGAGGGTAGCCGTCCTAATGAGTGCCACGCCGTGCCAGGTTAACCGTATGTCCTGGTTGGTGCACTTCTGAACCGGCTCTAATGCATCTGACGAAGCAGTGCAACTTGGCCCAGACATTGAGATGCACTGCACCTGGGGGGTGAGTGGGAAGACGTTCCTGGCTTCAGTCTGGCGCCGCTCTTGCAGCCATTTGGGGAGTGAACCAGCAGGGTGAAGACAGTCTCTCTGTAACTGCCCTTCAGTTAATGGGGCTAGTGCCTTGACCTCGTATGCTAAGCTTCTGCTTGTGACGCTGGCATCCCATAAGGGCCCCAGTTCCAAGTTGTGGGCCTGAGAGAGCAGATGGCTCAAGTCCTTGGGAGCTCTGGCAGCACACTGGCCCATGTCCAGCTGTGGCAGGCCTCAGGAGTGCAGCAGTAGGTGAAAGACCTCTAACTGGCTTTGCCTTTTTTTTTTAAGCTCCCCATTCTCCACCCCTCTGCCTTTAAAACAGGCAGAGTTGTGCCTGGCATGATGGCTCAATAGTTAAATCCTCACGTTTCAACCAAGATATCCCATATGGGCACCATTTCATGCCTTTGCTGCTGCACTGCCCAAAGCACCCATGTGGGAGACCCAGAGGAAGCTCCTGGCTTCGGATCAGCTCAGATCCAGTTTTTGTGGCAACTTGGGGAGTGGGCCAGCAGATGGAAGATCTGTCTGACCTTCCCTCCGTAAAATCTGATGTGCACCTCCAACACCAAACAGGCAGTGTTAGCCAAAAGGCTGAGAAGTGATGGTGGGCTAAGATCCATCTTCCATCTGCTGGTTCACCCCCCAACGCTGGTCTGGAGCCAGGAGCCTCCTCCAGTCTCCCATGGGTGCAGGGCCCAGGCCATAAAGCAGGGAGTTGGATGGTAAGTGGAGCAGCCAGGGCTGCACTGGCTCTGTAATCTGGCATTATGAAGATGGACCCCATTTGCCTCTCAGCTGTCACACTCAAGGCTTCAATGCATTTAGTTAGAGTCTGTTCTGAGTGGTTTGGCCTGCATTCTGATGCCCACTCCTTGTGTTGATTGGCAGAAATTTCAGCAGATTTCAAGGACCCGCTGTCCCTGGCTGGGAAAGAGAAGCCACCCTCAACAGCAGTCTGCGGGTCACCGTTGGCCCCCCAGCCTTTGCCCTCCACTGAGCTCTCCCAGGCCACCCCACCACCACCGGGCTCACCTGCACTCCCCGGGCGCCTGGAGGACTTCTTGGAGACCAGTACTGGGCTGCCCCTGCTGGCAGGTGGGCAGGAAGGGCCGGAGCCCCTGTCGCTCATAGACGACCTCCACAGTCAGATGCTCAGCAGCTCTGCCATCCTGGACCACCCCCCGTCCCCGATGGACACCTCGGACCTGCACTTTGCTCCTGAGCCCAGCAGCAGCCTGGGCTTGGCTGACGGCCACCTCGACAGCATGGACTGGCTGGAGCTGTCGGGGGGCCCTGTGCTCAGCCTGGCCCCGCTCAGCACCGCGTCCCCCAGCCTCTTCTCCACAGACTTCCTTGATGGCCACGACCTGCAGCTGCACTGGGATTCCTGCCTATAGCGCAGACCTGCAGCCGCAGGGCTCCCTGTGCGGATGGAGTCTCGACAATCAGGCCCCTCTGCCTTGCCTGTGGGCCGTGCCCTGGCTCCAGCTCCCCAGGGCAGGGGCAGGAGGAGTTGGTGAGGAGTGACCCATGCCAGGGGTGGACTGTGTCCATTTGGCCTCCTTTTGTGAGGTCGGAGGTGCACCGCCTGGCTGACGTGCGGCTGGGCGTCCAGCCCCGCTGAGCCGCAGCACGGCCGCTGTACATACCTCTCATCTGTATCCACACACCTACACGTCCGTGGGAGCTGGGCCGGCTCCCCCACCCTCCTCCCTGCCCTGCAGCAGGGACACCCTAGGGTGTACCCCATGGGGTACAACTACCCAGGCCTGCTCATCACGAGTGCTGGACGTACAGAGCCCGTCACGGCCTCTGCCACCTGTCAGTGCCACGTGGGCAGAGGTGCTCCAGGCCACGCCAGGAGCTCTCCCCCAGCCCACATTCCATCCCCGTCGCCTCACTGCAGCCAACAAGAAACTGGGACAGGGGGTGCCTTTTGTCCCACCCTGCCTGCAATGGGCTAAGAGGTGGCCCCTCCTGGTGCCCAGGGCCACTGACCTCGCATTCTCCGGGGGGGTGGGAGGGAGCTGTGTGAACTTTGAAATAAAAGTGAGACCACTACCATGTCTGTGTCATCGTGGGCCGTGGGCCGGGCCATGTGTTGTGTTCTGGGGCACCACAGTGGCCTCCTTCCCCCCAGGCTGACCTGCAAGCATCCCCAGGACGGGACCAACGTCCGCAGCGTGGCTGTGGCTGGACGGAGACAGGAGGTGGTGCTCGCAGCTGGTTTATTCAGAAGCCTCAGCGGCCAGGAGCCCGCCGCCACCCTCCTGCCTTGCTGAGCAGAGCGTGCCCACAGCGCATCAGGTCAGTGCCGGCTGCCAGCTGTCGCTGGGCTGCCCTAAGGGCACTGGTGGCAAGCACTGAGCCAGTCACCTGCGGCCCCTCAGCTGCTGTCCCAGGACAGGCTCACAGCTGGTCAGCCTGGTAACACTTCCTGTTGCGGGCGGGGCCCCAAGGGCAGCAGGGTGGTGGCGTCAGCCGTCTATGTCCCAGCTGAACAGGTGGTGCTTCACCAGCATGTCCTGGACGCCCTCCTTCAGGGGCCGCTTCTCCTCCTGTGCACACAGTAGCCAGGTTACCCGGGCAGGCTCAGGCAGCGGGGCTGGCACACAGGTCCCCACCAGGCCCCCTCAGCCGCCCCACCCACCTCTCTCTTGGCAGGGAGCTCCCAGTCCTGAGACAGGCTGAAGGCAAAACAGCAGAGGACACTGGAGAGAGAAAGGCGGACGCCGTCACCCAGGGGTCAGCCCTGCCGCCCCAGCCCCACGCTGCCGTCACCCAGGGGTCAGCCCTGCCGCCCCAGCCCCACGCTGCCGTCACCCCGGGGTCGGCCCTATCTGCCCTGCACTGCTGCCAGGTCCTCACCGGAGCTCACACTTGATCTGAACCCAGCCAGGGCTGCGCAGGAAGGACCAGGGCTGGTACCACTTCTCCACGGTGGGCAGGCTGGAGCACAGCACCTCCAGCCACAGGTGCAGCACCTGCTCACTGGGGATGGAGGAGCCGAGTAGGGGCCAAGCCTCGGGCAGGCCGGCAGTCCCCGAGGGTCCTGCTGTCTCCCCCAGCCGCATTCCCACTGTGGCGTCCACTCACTTGAGCCCCACACAGATGAGCGAGCGGAGCTTGACGTCCATCTGCACATGCGCTGCATCGTGGGTCACATTCACGGACTGCACGGCCTGCAGGGGCACGGTGGTCACGTGGCATGCCCCTTGGGACCACCTGGGGCGTCTCTGGGCTGGCAGGGCAGGCTGCTCACCCGGTACAGCAGCTCCTCAGGGGTCAGGACTTTGCCATCTTCATCCAGCCTGGAAAAGGAGCCGAGCTCAGCGCCCTTCGGGGTCGGGAGGCCTGGGCAGCCCTGCCCGCCCGCCAGCCCCGACTACCTGTAGGTCTTACAGAGCACGAGGCGGGAGTACACCGAGTCAAAGTCTCTCTCCACCTCCCGGCCTGCTGCCTGGGGACACAGGACACCTTCAGTGCGGCCCAGCCACCACCCGCCAGACCCCAGCCTCTCCCACTTCAGGGTGCAGTAGCCACTCACCTCCTCAATGAAGAGCCAAGGGTGGCATGCACCCCCAAGCAGGGACGGCTTCTTCAGTCCATGCTCAAACAGGGCCTTGAGGGCCGGGCACAGGGTCCCTCGCACGAGGTCCGTGACCCCCTCTGTCACAGAGTCATCCCCCGCGATGGAGTACTGTGGGGGAACAGGTCGGAGAAGGCCGGCCTGCGGCGGGGACCCTTGCTGGGGCAGGGGACCCTCCGGGGCTTGCCTTCTCTCACCTCCTTGCTGCGCTCGTCCAGGACTTCCACAAACTTGGCCGGAAACCAGCCTGTGGGAAGAGTGCAGGTGACCCGTGGACCTTTCCCTGGGGGCCCAGGAGAGCACCCCATCTCCCTCGGGTCTCCCCGAGGCCCCTGCGGGCCCTCACCTCGCAGGCCGTTCAGCTCCCCGACCCAGCAGTGCTCGTCCTTCTGAGAAACGATCTGCAGGAGGGAGACCAGAGCCCGTTTCCCCGGGGCCAGGGCCTCACCCCTCCCACCCTCACCCTAGACCCCACGTGCTGGGGACGGGGGAGGGTGGCCAGGGCGGGAGGGGCCCCCTGGTGCCCACCGCACCGCACCGCACCGCACCGTAATGATGTCATTCTTGCGGAAGCCCAGCTCGTCGTCGTCATGCCGCTCGAAGTCCAGCAGGGCCTTGGCGCGGCGCCGGTGGCTGCGGGAACAGGCCACGTAGTTCTCATGGTCCCGCTGGTGGCTCTCCATGCTGTAATCTGGAGTCAGCTCCTGCCCAGATGGACAGAAGCGTTGTGGGCGAGGGGACTGATGGGGACAGGCCGGCTCCAGTGCACACGGTGGTCCTGCACGGCCTGAGGAGCCTGCGACTCACCACGCTGCAGTTCTTGGGATCCGTGCACTGGAAGTGGCGAGCCACGCGCAGGACGGCCTCCCGGAGGTCAGCCACCAGCTCCGTCTGCTTGATGTTCTTGGCTTTGAGCGCCTCCAGGTCATCCTCCCCTAGGGGACAACACAGGGCCGTGGCCGCCTCCCCTCCCCAGGCCCTCAGAGGGGCACTGCCATGTGCCCGGCTGCCTGCCACAGAGGGGCTCACCGAACAGCAGGGAGCTGATGGCGGACTTCCTGCGCTGCGTCCTGCGTCGCACAACCTGTGGGTAGGGAGTTGGGTGTCAGCGGCCACACCCGCGCCCAGGACCGCGCTGGCTGAGAGGACGCTCGGGGCTCGGTCTCACACCCACCCAAGCCAAGATCAGGACGCTGGGATTCACTGCACCCGAGGGCAGGCTCACCCCACGGCGGTGGGAACCCCCGAGAAAGCCCGTGCTGCGGGCCGACCTGGGAGAGGTTGCTGGTGGTGCCGGTCCCCAGCAGCTGGCCCTGGTCTGCAATGAGGTAGGCCAGATGTTTACGGCGCTGGGTCTCCACAGCCACAGCCGTGAGGGAGCCGGCCAGCCGCATGGCCTCCCCCAGCAGCAGCTCGGCGTCGTCCATCTGCGACGGGATGTCCGACAGAGTGTTGAAGATGGAAGCCGAGTTCTCTGACTGGATCAGCTCCTCCTCCTGGGCAGGGCAGGGGGCAGGGTTGGCACTGCATGGGCCTGGCCAGGAGTGGACCCGTGCCCCCTCATGCTGCACCGCCCTCCCGCGGGCACCTGGAGGCGCAGCATGCCCAGTGTGGTCTGGAACAGCACCAGGGAGCCCTCGTAGAAGAACAGGTCCCAGATGCGCAGCAGCAGCCGGATGTGCACCACGCTGGCGAAGGCCGTGAGGAACCAGTGCAGCGTGATGAGGGACAGTTCTGGGGACAGCACGGAGCAGTGACGGGACGCGCGCAGGCCTGCAGCCTCGGGCCTCTGCCAGCTGCGTCTCCGACCCCCACCGGGCCTCACCAATGTCATGCTCCTGCAGAAGCTTGTCCAGGCGGGGCAGGTACTGCACGATGAGCTGGCGCAGCACCCGCTGGTCAGTCTGGACACCCAGCAGGGTGGTGCTGAAGTAGGAGGCGGGCAGCAGGTCCTCGATGACAGCCCCCATCATCCAGAAGGCATCCTCCTCCTCCAGGAAGAGCAGGAGGCAGGCCGCCACCTGGCCAGGCATGGGGGCAGGGACCTGTAGCCAGGACTTCAAAGGGGCCCTCCCCGAGGGTGACCACCCCTCACCAGGGAGCCCAGTGATGCCCCTGCCTGCCTGAGGCCACGCTCACCATGCCAGTACCCTGGCAATAGCCAATCTCAGGGTAGAGCCAGGCCAGGGCCCGGAGGACCCTGCGCAAGCGGGGCACCCCGACGCTGTCCACGCTGGCAAAGCAGGCGTTGCTGGGCATGGTGCGGAGCAGGTCCTTCTCGATCTGCCAGGAACCCAGACCCCCCGATCAGACCCGAGAGATGGCAGACCCCAGGCCCTCTTCCTCGGGGTCAGACCCCAGCGCTACTGTGGAGCTGGCCAGTACGGCAACCACAGGCCATAGCTGGCCTGGCGTCTCTGCAACCTTTTGGGCAGTTCTCCCGGGGCCTTTGAGGGCTTGGGAGGAGTGCTCTATGGCAGAGAGGGCTGCTGGCCCTGCCAAGGTCACCCCCAGGCTGGTACCCCTCACCTGTTTGGCAGCGATGGTCTCGTCGTTGGAGCTGTTCCTGACCATGTCACGGTAGGACAGCTCTGAGCTCTTCTTCTTCTGCAGGGCCCCAGAGAGCCGCATCCATAGCTGAGGAAGGAGTGTAGTCTTCTCAGATGCCATCAGGGCAGCCCCTGTGAGCCCCCTGGGATAGCCCCAGGGCTGTCTCACCTGTGGCCTCATGCCATGCGGAATGCCAGCCAGCACCAGGGAGCGCAGCTTCTCGGAGCGGGGCAGGGAGACAGCAATCTTGTCCCAGGTGAGATCCCCCACGTCGTGGTTGTGGGTGAACTCCAGGTGGGCCTGCCACCGCAGCCTCTGCGCAGGATCCTCCACCAGGGATGCACTTGGCAGTGGACTGCAGCTGGGCTCAGCACCTTCTGCCAGGAGATAGGTGCAGCAGTGGGCAGTAGGCCAAGGCTGTCCCGAGGCCCTGAGCTCTGCCTCTGGGGCCAGCTCTCCACCCTGAGCGCCTCCTGTGCACTCAGTGACACTTCCTCCAGGCAGCCCAAAGATGAGCAGGCTTGGTCTACACTGCCCTCCCACAGCAAGAGACCCCAATGACATTCTCAGGCTCGGGTCTGAGCACGGAAGACAGGGCAGAGCCTCATGCTTCCGGTAGGGTGCGGCAGTGGGCCTGCTGACCCCGCTCTCTCCACGGGGGACACAGCGGTCCTTCCAGGAGTCCACAGCATGCCTCTGCACCTGCTCGGCCCCCTGGGATGCCTCGCGTGGCTCTGCCCCCTTGCCTAGTGCCCTGCCACCTGCCTGCTCTTCCATATCGCTGCCCACTCAGCACCGCCACACCTGTTGTTCCCAGCTGCCCTCTCCTGAGAACCCTCCCTGCCCAGGAATGCTGCCTAGGTGTCCTCCCCGCCCCTAGCAAGTCATTTGGGTGCACAGTCTGCTTTCTGCACCCCAGGGGGTTTCTTGAAATATTTACTCAATGAGTGAGGGTGAAGCGTTCTTGCCTCACAAGAAAGCCAAGCCCTTAGCTCTGCTTCTGGAAACATCCACTTAAGTGCCTTCCCTTACACAGTAAGATGTGGGAATTCTCACTCAGCAGTGCCTAGCCTCGTCTTCCCCAGGGGCACCTGCTCCCATCGCACAAGGAGTCTTCAGAAAGACTGCTTTGAGACTGTTTGCACCAACATAAATTTGTCTTTTGATTCGAGAGACAGACACACACAGGGAGAGCACAAGTGCCCAGCACTGATTTACCCCCACAGCCTGCCGTGGGTGCTGGGCTGGCCTCCAGCTGGAAACTCAATTCAGGTCCCCCTTGCTGGGGCCAGAAGTGTTAGCTGAGTTGTTGGCTCCTAGGGCCTGCCATCGGCCTGGAGGCAGGGGCCATCCCCTCCCAGGGCCTCTTCCAGGCCTTCCTCGGCCCTCCTCCCTGCCCTCCCAATAGGGACGTGACATTCTAGGAATCCTTTTTCACTTTCATTTGTTTGAAAGGCAGAGTGACAGAGGAGAGTGGTCTTCTGCCCCGATTCATTCCTAAATGTCTACAACAACCAGGAACACCATCTGGTCTCCCATAATCCAGGCCCATGGTAAGTGCCTGCCGCCTCTCGGGCACATTTGCAGGGAGCTGGACTGGCAGCAGAGGACAGGTGGACCTCAGACCAGGCCTTCTGACAGGGTGGCAGGCATGCCGAGTAGCAGCTGAGCTCGCAGTACCAGCAGGTGCCCCTCCCCAGGTTTGCTCACTGCTGGCCCAGACACCTGCTCCTTTGCGCACTTCTTTAAGTCCACCTGTACCCAAGAGTCCCCTGACTCCACCTCAACCTTGGCTTTTTAATCTCCAAAAATCTGTTGCAAATAAGCAGTCCAGAGAACTTATACCAGAAACAAAAATGGGAGGGCCAAAAGTTTTACACCTGCACCTCAGGCCTGATGGTAAGAGGCCCCGGGTTCTGGCACAAGGCCTTCCTGACAGCCCGCAGGGCACTGACAGGTCTGCTCACAGCAGAAAACAATGGAAATGGTTTACAGGTCCACTTTAATAAAAAAAATTAAATATTATGATAAATCTGCATTAGGATATTCTACAGCCACTGACAAAGAAGTTTTTATCTTTGAAAGTGTATTGACTGGGCCTGGCACGGTGGCGCAAGTGGTTAAGGTCCTCGCCTTGAACGCCCGGGATCCCATATAGGCGCGGGTTCTATCCCGGCAGCCCCGCTTCCCTTCCAGCTCCCTGCCTGTGGCCTGGGAAAGCAGCAGAGGACGGCCCAAAGCTTTGGGACGCTGCACCCGTGCTGGAGACCTGGAAGAGGCTCCTGGCTTCGGATCGGCATAGTATCGGCTGTCGCGCTCACTTGGGGAGTGAATCATCGGACGGAAGATCTTTCCTCTCTGTCTCTCCTCTCTGTATATCTGCCTTTCCAATAAAAAAATAATAAAAATAAATCTTTTTTAAAAAAAAGTGTATTGACTGACCCTGAAAACACTCATGGAATAATGTTAAAATACAACAGATATGTCATCTAACCTTAGTCATGGAAAGTCTATATAAATACACAAAGCCAGGAAAGGAATACATTTAAAATGTTCGCAGTTACAGAATTTTGAGTTAATTTTGTTTTATCATTATACCTCTCTGCATTTTCTGTTAAAGATTTACCTTTTTTTAAATTAGAAAGCCATATTTATAGAGAGGAGAGGCAGAGACAAAGATCTTTTGTCTGCTGGTTCACTCTCCAAGTGGCCACGACGGCTAGAACTGAGCTGATCCGGAGCCAGGAGCCAGGAGCTTCTGCTGGGTCCTCTGGCTTTGGGTCGTCCTCCACTGCCCTCTCAGACTATAAGCAGGGAGCTGGATGGGAAGTGGAGCAGTCGGGACTAGAACCAGCAGCCATATGGGAACCTGGCATATGCAAGGGGAGGACTTTAGCCTCCAGCTGTCACAGCCCCCTCTCTGTATTTTTTAACTTTGTTCCTGTTTTTAGATCGATAAGGGCTGGCTACTGTGGTTTAGCACACTAAGCCTCTGCCTGTGATGCCAGTATCCAAATGGGTGCCAGTTCAAGTCCGAACATATCCATCTCAGGTCCAGCTCCCTTCTAATGGACTGGAAGGCAGCAGATGAGGGCTGGATTCCACGGGGCCCTTCACCCATGTGGGAGACCCAGAAGAAGTTCCTGGCTCCAGACAGACCCAGCTCCAGCTACTGTGACCATTTGGGGAATAAACCAACAGATGGAAGATCTGTCTCTCCTCCATGAAATTCTGCCTTACAAATAAAAAATAAGAATCAATAAAAAGCTCTACATATTTGTACCAGCATCACCCTCAGATCTGCCTGCCTGGGTCAGAGGTCATGTGATACAGAATGCAAGCCTTGGGAGCTGGCGTTTTCCCAGGACAGTGACAGACGAGGGACTCAATTTTACCTTCTTTGTCCACGCGGAAACCAAACTCATCATAGTAGGCCTCGGGCTGCTCTGCAGACTCCTCCTTCTAGAAGCAGGGTTAGGAAGACGTCAATTGTCCAGCTCCCAGTGTGGGGCCAGCGTGATGGCTGCCTTCCCAAACCCCCGATCACGGACAGGGCCCTTGCCTCTCCCGTGCCTGTCCATGACACTGAGACCACGGCCAGAAGCGTGCTCTACGCATTTCCGTGTCTGTGATCCTGAGGGCACAAGGCCAGCACGCCTTCATCCAGCTGTGGCACTCAGGGCACCTGGTGACCCTGTGCGCACCCAGTCCCGGGGCAGGGCGCTGCTATGGTGTACCTGCTTGCACCGAGCCAGAATCTCCTGGGGCCACATGCTTGGGGTCAGCGCCGAGAAGGGGCCGCCGGCAGAAGGGGTGTGGCTTCCTGGAAGCAAACAGAGCAAGAGAACATAGGAACCCCAAGTCTGGATGCCCCCCTGTGAGGGGGAGTATGGAGTGGCCCACTTCTGAAGGAGGGGGAGCACAGAACGGGAGCCACGCTCACACCAACGCCCCAGTCACTCCCTTCCCCACCTATCTGGACTAAAATTTTATGAAATCTCCGCTCTCAGCAAGCCCCCACTCCAGCACCCGGACCCCAGCTTCTACCTGACATGGCGCAGCAGGCAGGGTGAGGCCGAGGGGCCTCAGGAGCAGTCCTGTCCCAGTCTGTGGGGGTTGGAAGGCTTCCCCAGACTCATCCGGTCCATCTGTTTATCTGCCCTGTGGAAGAGCGGCGTGCAGGTCACTCCAGCACCCCAGGTTAATGAAGTGCCCCCCTCAAGCCTCCCCTTTACCAGCCAGGAGCAGCTGGGAGAGAAGTCCTACCACCGTGCCACAAAGAAAGGGAAAAGTTACACTTCACCCTTCTTAAAGTGGGCATCTTTTTATTATCATTTTTTTAATTGAGAGGCTGAGAGAGAGAGAGAAAGTGAACGTGCCCCAGCCACCAGGGCTGGGCCAGGCCGGAGCCAGGAACCAGGAAACCCCATGAGTTTGCACACGGGCGGCGGGATCCAACGACCTGTCTGGGCCGCCAGTCGCTGCCTTCCTGGGTGCGTGTTAGAGGGAGCTGGCCAGCAGTGGGACCTGGACCTAGGTGCGGAATCCGAGTGTCCCAACAGTGACTTCGCCCACAGCCGAGCCAGAGGCCCACCCAGCAGGGAAAGAAGGCATCCTATTCTGAACATTTGGTCTGAGGGCACACGCCGAAGAAGGTGCCAGCATGCAGCCCTTTGATTAAGGACGCAGAGTCAGTCAGGTGTCCTAACGTCCCATGCTCAGGGGATGCGCTTTCAGAGAGAAAGCAGAGAGATCTCGCCGCTGCTGCTTCACTCCAAAATACACAACAGCTGAGTCTCATTCAGGCCTCCGTGTGGGCGGCAGGGGCCAAGTGTCTGGGCCATCACCTGCTGCCCAGCTTACAAGCGAAATCAGAAGTGAAGTAAACCGGACTCGAACTGGTGCTTCAACACGGGACGGGGTGTTGCAAGAGCTGGCTTATTCGGGGCTGGCACTGTGGCACAGCAGCTTAAGCCAGCGTCATGGGTGATGCTGGCATCCCAGATGGGCCCTGGGTTGTGTCTGGCCTGCTCCACCTCCACCGACCTAGTGCTTGGGCTCCTGCACCCACGGGAGAGACCAGGGTGACGCTCTCGGCTCCTGGCCTCGGCCTGATCCACGCGTGCTGTGACCATCTGGGCAGTGAGCCAGAGACAGAAGCTCGCTCTGTGTAACTGCTTTTCAGATAGATAAATCTAAAGAAAAAAAAAGGCTTAACCCACTGAGCCACAGTGACAGCCCTCTAACCATATTTGTTGTTCTTTTTCAAATGTTCACTTATTTTCATCTACTTGAAAGGCAGTGAAACACAGAAATGCCAACTGTTCACCTGCTAGTTCGCTTCCCAAATGCCTCAACAGCCATGACTGGCCCCGGCCTGACCCGGCAGCTCAGGACTCATCTCACTAAGGATGAGCCCACAAGTTTCTGAAGGATACGCGCCCATCCCCCCACAAAAATAAAACCAATAAAACCATGTGCCCACTGAAAAACACACGTTACTGCTCAGGGCAGCGTTACAGTCAATAAGTAACTCAGAGGCCCATCAAGTGAATGGATATACAGAATGCACCCACACCATGAATATTACTCAGCCACAGAATGAACCCCCGACGCACACTAAGCCATGGAAGAGTCTAGAAACAACAAAGTGAAAGGAGCCCGACACCAAAGTGTAGTCACTGTACAGACCTTATTGAAAGGAGTGTCCAGAAGGGGCGGAGTCACAGAGGCAGGCAGCAGCTCAGGGGCCGGGGGGCCGGGGGGCACAGCTTACAGCGTGTCTCCCTTGGGGGATGAAAGCACCAGGAAGCAGACAGTGGCAGGAGTGGTCCAATGAGCTGATTCTGCTAAAACCACCTAAGTGTGCACTCAACACATGAATTATACCTCAATCCAAAGAAGTGTCAATTAGGGCATTAGTATCAGGCCTTACTCTAACTGTAATTTTTCACTGATGACTTCCTTCCCCGTTAGAGCTCCCTGAGCTGCACGGAGATGCAATTCTGTTATTATTACTATTATTACTATCATCTCTTCTCTGCTTTTTTCTCTTACTAAGCCTTTCACTATGGAAAAACAGGCTCTACTTCTTGGAGATGAATGGCAGGTGACAGTGAGACGTGGGGAAACTTCAGGCACAGCAGCCTTCCCGATGTGCAATCAGGCTTGGCGAAGCTGCCGTTTCTGAGGTGACAGGGAGGTGCTTCCTGCCGCGCAGAGGGCCAGGCCAGACCCCGCTTCCCCAACAGGTCGCCACCCTGACTTTGTTTTGAATGAAGAGCATGGAATGCTGGGAAAGCGGAATCACACAGCCCTGCTCTGACTCGGCGCTCCGTCCCTGGGCGAGCATTTACATTTCTGCAAGTCCAACACTTACATCATCGGTTTTCCAACATCTTTTTTAAGATTTATTTATTTTTATTGCAAAGTAGAGAGGAGAAGAGAGAGAGGAAGATCTTTTGTCCAATGATTCACTCCCCCAGTGATCACAACGGCCGGTGCCGAGCCGATCTGAAGCCAGGAGCCAGGAACTTCCTCCGGGTCTCCCACACGGGTGCAGGGTCCCAAGGCTTTGGGCCGTCCTCGACTGCTTTCCCAGGCCACAAATCCCAGGGAGCTGGATGGGAAACAGGGCTGCCGGGATTAGAACCAACGCCCATATGGGATCCAGGCACGTTCAAGGTGAGGACCTTAGCTACTAGGCCACCGTGCCGGGCCCATCTCCCAACATCTTAAAGTTGATGACCACCTCTGCACCAATACAAGAGAAGCAAGCCTGTGAGAGACTGCTCGCGAGTGTCTGTGTGTGTCTGCCACACCAGTGACATGAGGTGCTGAAGATGGGACACAGGGCAAGGGCCCGGGCCCTCCACGGCAAGTGACCACGTGTCCGTCTCAGCGGGGCAACCCCTGCCAGGGGTGAGAAGTGGCCACCAGCCACAGCAGACGGACCTCAGTGGGAGCCTGGAGAGACAGACTGAACAGACTGCAAACAGCCTGCAGCGAAGACACGGTCCTAGTCACCTAGTGTACACACACTGCATACGTGCACAGACATGTGCGAACAGGGGCACCTCTCCCAAGGTGTCCCCCCCTCCCAGCCCACAGCAGGAGCCGGATGTGACACAGCTAAGCTGGGCAGGCAGGTTTGTCCTGCCTCTGGTCACCATGGAAATCTTCCTGACAACAGCCATCTGGAGCCAGCAGAAGCTGACACAAGCAGCCACGTCACCAGGGCTGCCCTCCCACTGTCACGGCAGTTCCAACTGCCCTCCCAGCCACAAGCAGGGAGCTGGATGGGAAGCAGGGCTGCGAGTACATGAATCGGTGCCCATATGGGATTCTGGTGTGTGCAAGGCAAGGTCCTTTGGCAATTAGGCTACCGTGCCAGGTCCAGCAGAAACTTTTAAAAAACTGATTCTAATCCCAACGGTCCCGCTTCCCATCCAACTCCCTGTTTGTGGCCTGGGAAAACAGTCGAGGACGGCCCAAAGTCTTGGGACCCTGCACCCGTGTGAGAGACCTGGAAGGAGCTCCTGGCTTCAGATCAGCTCAGCTCCAACCGTTGCGGTCACTTAAGGAGTGAATCATCGGATGGAAGATCTTCCTCTCTGTCTCTCCTCCTCTCTGTATGTCTGACTTTCCAATAAAAAGAACTAAATCCTTTAAAAAGAGGGACTGACTCGATTAGAGAAGGAGGAATCTTTACCTCGCACTGAGGTGCCATGCCTCAGACCCTGCCTCGACGGGCAGGCCGTTTGCCAGCCAGAACAACTTCCTGCAAGACACACTGCTCCGACACAGAAGCAAAGGTGGCCAGAGCTCGCGAGGGCGAGGTGGCTGTGCCGCACAGATGCACAGAGGGGGCGCGGCCCCTGCGGCCCCCCCTGCCTCCAGACCACAGGGCACAGCTGCTGCAGCATGGGTGAGCCTCTGCAGCTTCCAACAGGCTTGGTTCTAGCCTGCAGCCACTGGGGCATGAACCAGCAGGTGGGAGGTCTCTGTTTCTTCCTCTCTAATTCTCTCAGGCAAAATAAATATCTTTTAAAAAAGCAACACCAGGGCCCGGTGGCGTGGCCTAGCGGCTAAAGTCCTCGCCTTGAACGCCCTGGGATCCCATACGGGTGCCGGTTCTAATCCCAGCAGCTCCACTTCTCATCCAGCTCCCTGCTTGTGGCCTGGGAAACAGTCGAGGATGGCCCAAAGCCCAGTGACCCTGCACCCGCGTGGGAGTCCTGGAGGAAGTTCCTGGCTCCTGGCTTCGGATCGGCACAGCATCGGCCGTTGCACTCACCTAGGGAGTGACTCATCGGACGGAAGATCTTCCTCTCTGTCTCTCCTCCTCTCTGTATATCTGACTTTCCAATAAATAAATAAATCTTAAAAACAAAAAAAGCAACACCAGATAATAGCTATTTAGTGGAATACTAACTTTTTTGGGAAACAGGAAAAAGGATAAACATTATTTTTCAAGGTAACTATATGACACTGCCGACTGTTTTTCTCTAGGCCTCCACCCTTCAGCCCTTGCTCTCCTCAGCTGGGGTTCTACTGGGCAACTTCACCCCTGCCGGGGCCTCCCTGGTCATCTACTGAACAGCCTCACCCCTGCCAGGCCTCCCTGGTCATCTGACTAGACAATCTCACCCCTGCTGGGACCTCCCTGCCCACCTGCTCATTCCTTCCCCTCATTAGCAGTTTCTTCCTACTGTCAATGCCAATCTAATCCCAGTCTCTCCTGCTTGATGCTTAAGCACCTGCCACCAGTGCCAGCACCAGGTCCCCTGAGGCGCTCTGTGTTCTGTCACCTGGCACTGCCCCTTCCGTCTCTCTCACGGTGGGTCACACTGGGCCCACTCAGATCAGCTGCCATTGTACTCTCCCCACTCCTCTGTCTCCAAAAGCCTCCTTAACCTGCAAGACAGAGCGGGAATGAACTCATGATGCCCAAATGCAGGTATGGAGGCAGCACACCAACGCAGAAGCACTGGCGCTCAGGAATACCTGCCCAGGCCTGGTGCTGTGCTGCAGCCAGCTCCGCCCCAGCCTTCAGGGCCTGCATCCCCAACGGGAGCCGCTTCAAGTCCCGGCTGCTCCACTTCCAATCCAGTCCCCTGCTTATGGCCTGGGAAAGCAACAGAGAGTGGCTCAAGTCTTTG